AGCTAGAGAACTAGTATTAATAAGTAATAAGAAATATTTAAATAAACATTTCACTTTTTTTGGAAATAACCATTACAAACCAATTAATAAAATCGATGCTTTTTACATTAATTTTTAAGTCATCCAACCAGTAATTTATTTCATTCGATGAGGGTCAAAATTTGCATTTGACCAAATAGGAACCTGGGGAATTAGTAAATCCAAAATTCCGATTTGTGATCGCTGCACACAATGATGCATATCCGATCACTAGATCACGAGAATTTTGGTTGTAAAAATTGTATGTACTGTACGTACGAAGCTCTTTTCTTGAATGAATACATTATATAATTAATTAATTATTTAATTATTAATTTATTTTTGTTCTTCTTTTCATGAGAGGAATGTAATGTTAAGGCGAGACCAACTGTATTCTGTGTTTTACATTACCCCTTTTCCCTCCGGAAGAGGGAGGGTTCACATGGTAAAATTTTTAAAAAATTTTTTTTCAAAAAAATTTACCGTATTCCTCCGAAAATAAGCACCACCCGAAAATAAGCACCCCTGGCCTACATTAGGCCGTTTGAAGTTAATTTTTTGGTTAACATCACCCCCCAATGGTCCCCCGGCCCCCGGGTAAAATGAACATATGAAAAAAAATAAAAATAATTAAATATTATCATTATTTAGAAATCAAATTCAATATATAAATTCGATTTATTACTTCGTGCATGATATTACTAGTTACTGTAGCTGACGTATGTACGAACGAACGTACTTAGCTCTATATATGGGGGTCGTGCAGAATCACGTGATACCTGACCAATCAAATTAAGAATTTGATGATCTTAGGCAATTTTGCTTATTGCTGTATCATATTACTACCCAAAACCCGTTTGAAGTTAAGCTTTCGGTTAACATCACCTTCCTCTTTGATGTCCCCCGGTAAAAATTAAAAAAATAAATACTGCATAACCACGAAACAACTCGATGGGTGTGGTTTCGAATTTCGGCCTAAATTAAGATTAATTCAGGCCGAAACTCGAAATAACTCTGTGCGTTATTTCTCGGTTAAAATAAAATAATTTAAAAATAAAAAACGAATTAAAAAAAAATAAAACCTAAATAAAAAATAAATAAATATATAATAATAAATAAAGCTAAAATTTTAATTCCTATTTGCTGTCCTCTCATATATGTTTTTTTCAGTTTGCAATAAAACGATTCAACAAAAAACTGCTGAATAAAGAGCTTCCGAAGTGCTTTTTGTTCGATTGTGAAGAGCTAGAAAACTAGTATTAACGAGAAGAAATATTTGAATAAACATTTGGCTTTTACGGAATCATTCGGACAAAATTTGCTCGACCAATAGGAATTTGGAAAACACAAAATTCCAATCTGTGATCGCTGCATACATGATGCAGATCCGATCACTAGATCACGAGAATTTGCCTGTAAAAATTGTACATACGTACGAAGTTTTTTTTATCGGATAAAATACTTTTTATAATAAATTAATTATATACCGATATTTATTTATTTTTGCTCCTTTCTTTTATAAGAGGAATGTAATGTTAAGGCCGTTTGAAGTTAATTTTTCAGTTAACATCACCCCCAGCTGAAGTCTCCCCCCTCCTCCGAAAAATGAACAGCCAATCAAAACGCTGAATGACTCTCGCCAGTCACCTGATTTACATCAACCAATGAAATTGCTTCATTTTTATATGTTTGTTTCATATGTTCGTTTCATTTTACCCCCCCGCCCATGAGTTCTGGAAAAGTGACGTTAACCAATGAATCAACTTCGAACGGCCTTAAGTCAATTTTGGCCCAAATTATGACTGCCTTGGCCCGCATTATGTGCAAAAAAAGGGTGCTTATTTTCGGAGGAATACGGTATTTCGAATTGTTCCGTGACTGTATAAAATTTTCTGAAATATCCTGAAGCCCTATGTATATTTATCTAAATTTTTTTACTATGAGGGAGAGGGGGGCCACTTATGGTAATGTAAAACACAGAATCCATTAGTTCGCCTAACTACTAAATCAATTTATCTAACTTAATTAGCAACTCAAATATCACGATATGTTATTATTAATAAATTGAAAAGGTATGAAGTTTGAAACGAGGCCGAGAGCAAGATATAAAAAAAAATGGCACATTGTAATTTAATATTAAATTGAATTTTGAAAATGTCTAAGCGAAGCGAGGCTGAAAGTAATAAACTAATTTGTCAACAATGTTTATAATGTAAAAAATAAAAGAACAGGGTCAAATTGGCCAAGCGAAGAGTCGTATAAAGGTTGTTCATATATTTTCTACTTATATTTTTTTAACTATCTTGTGCACAAAGTGCTGAATTATTCTATTTTCATAAATAAAAGAGTAAATTTAAAATATTTAAAAAATTTTAAAAAAGTATTGTCATGGATGATCGTGAAATCGGATGATAGTGAAATTTGGGGGTCTCAATTTGAAAATATAAACCCTACCAAAATTCACCTATACACTTTTATTAATAACCCTAACCCTAAATCCTAATTCATCCATAAAATAAAATTTAACAAAAAAGGTCCTAAAAATTTTTAAAAATTGTACATAAAATAGATTCAAATTTTACCATCATTCAATTTCATGATCATCCGTGACAAGTATTAAATTATCAGTAACTAGTAACATCATGATACCATCTGCTATGTCTAATTATTATTAGTTAGCTCCGCATGGCAATTTCTTGTTGATTATAATAAACTCGCAATTTATTTTTGTATTCTAGGATATACAATTTTAGGTAGCACATTCTATGCATGAATGTATCATGTGATTGACACCATCGATATAATTTGGATTCAAAGTTGAACGATTGTGAACTCGTATATGGTAGTTTTGAAATATATGAAATATATGTTAGGCCACGCAAAGTTGATTTTTCGTTTTGCATTACATGAATTTCAAAATTCGGACGGACAGGCAGATTTTTTTTTATTTTTTTTTAGTTTTAATTTAAATAATGTTCATATTTAAAGTTATACAAGGCTAATTTTTCATTTTGTACAACAAGGAATCAAAAAATTGGGCCGGCAGTCATATTTTTCCTGTCAGTCCTATCGGACGATTACGGGAAATTAAGGTCACCATCGGGTGACACCGGATGAATATAATTATTGGAATAAATTTTTTGCCACACTTAGAATTCATTCAATTTTTGTCGCGGATGATCGTGAAATTGGATTATCGTGAAATCCACGTGATTCCGTATCATTGGATTTCCTAAAATTTCCGTAAATCGTGTAAACAATCGATCTAATTGATCTACATTACATAATCAAAACAATCGAATGCTATAACCGGGGTCCATATATGCCTATATGCCTGCATTCTTGATACTGTATCTATATATAAAAGACCTTCTAACTGTATCAAAAAGGCGACCCTAACCCTAAACACGAGGCAAAAATTTTTTTTTGTTAGTGATTTTATAGACTCTAACCTTAAATATGAGGCAAAATTTTTTTTTTTTGTTAGTGGTTTTATAGACTCTTTTTTGCCTCGTGGTTAGGGTTAGGGCTAGGTCGCCTTTTTGATACAGTTAGAAGGTCCTTTATATATAGATATCAAGAATGCGATTTATGCAGCATATAGGCATACCGACCAGTTATAGCATTCGATTGATTACGTAGTGTAGATCGATTAGATCGATTGTTTACACGATTTTTGGAAATTTTAGGATACGGAGATCACGTGGATTTCACGATAATCCAATTTCACGATCATTCGCGACAATTATTAACGTTGTGAGAAAAAATAGATGTCAAAAATCGAACAATTGGCACAATTGGGATCTAAAAAAAAAAAAAAATTGAAAAAATTGAAAAAATGGGACGGCGGGTAATGCAAAACAAAAAATCAACTTTGCGTGGCCTTAAATTTACAAAGTATGTAATATACTATAACTTTATGCTAATTAAATCTATACAATCTTGTATACTCAAAGTTGTAAGCTAATTGTAAAAATTCAGATGCCGGTGCCCCAATCAAAATATATATATACTTTTTTATTATATATTTTGCTGAATTGACTAAATATAACTAGTTACATTTCATATCTCCTGTTTGGAACCCTTTAAATTAATGAAGTTTAATATTTTTTGCGACTAATCGGATATATAGATACCTAGTAACAAAATATATATATACCGGTATATATTCTTTTTGCAAAAGGTTTAATGATACATAATATTCGAGTTATCATAACTATTCTTTAAAATAATTGTTACAGAATTGAAAAAAAGTTTTGTTTAAATGTTCAATCATTATTGTAAAAAATTTATTTGAATTTTATCCCGTTCAATAAATTAATAATAAGATTATTAATCCTTTCTCCACTAAAAAAGGCTATTATCAAAAATGTTAATTTTAGTATAGTGAATTAATTTCTAACAACTTGAAAGCAATAAAAATACTTACTTCAAGGTTCGCATTGGGTGGATGATCATCAGACCGAGTAGGCGATTTTTGTTCATCCAACTTCTTGCTTAGTTTTCTTCCACCCTTTTGAACCCCTCGACTTTGTGCCTTAAAAAATAATAATAAATTTATTTCAATAATAAAGTTTACTGTGAATAATTAAACAAAAGATAATCTAGCACTCACTTGTTGGACTCATCTTTCAGCGGCTTCAGCCGCTGCTGAACTATCAACAGTTCTCGTTGTATCTCTTGTTCCGTCCCCACCAAGTGTATGCGCCCTTTCTTTTGGCCTACTTTCAAAACAATCACTCAAACTTTCAAGGCAGTTACCCATTTATTATTATTATTATATATAAAAAACAAAAAAAAAAGTTGTGAAAAGATTTTATAAACACTTTTTTTCTGGAAGAGCCTTATATTTAAAATTATATGCAGTTACATAATTACTCAGTTGTAAATGACCAATACAATATCTATTTTAAGAAATGGATTTTATCTTAATAAAGTAATGATGATCTGACAGCTGAACAATAAAAAAATAATTAGGATTTTGACAGCAGCAGGATTTGAACCTACGAACCCAATGGGTATCAGGTAAATGTTCGCACCTGACGCCTTCGACCACTCAGCCATACTGTCAATTTATAATTAAATAAGTAAATTTTATAATATGGACTAGTTGCTGGAAAAAGGGCCAAAATGACAAAAAAAAAGATCTTCAGAAAATCAATATTTATATTAAAATTACATAATAAATCATAAGAAAATGCAAACTTTAAAGAGCTATACTCAAAATTTTATTAATACAACTACTTTTGTATTTTAAGTGAATAATGATCCTAATTTTATTCTAAATTGATTTATGTAAAAAACCTTTTTTGAAAAAATTGTTATTTTCGCTCTTTTTCTAGCATCTAGCCCATATAGTCTAATGCAAAAAGATAGATCCTCTCAAATTAAATTTTTTTTTAAATTTTATTAATAGTAATTTTTATTTTTAGTTTTTACTATATTTTAGTTATAGTAAACTATATATAAATTGTATAATAAATTATATAAATTTTTTTTAAACCAATTCATTGGCTGGTTTTTGCTAGCATATATATATAGTCATTTTTTTCTTTAATTCAAACCTTTTAATTTAAATCTTAATAAACTCTATAAAAACTAAATATAAAATTCTAAAACTTTTTTTTGTTTTAAGACTGGACTGCTTGGCCAAAGTTTTATTAAAAATTATGATAATTTGATTACATGAACAAGGATACAACAGTGATACAACTAGCCACATGTACACTTTTGGTATCTATTTTAAGTAGTCTGCCTGAAGGTTCTACACTAGCTACTATACCTGCAACCAACTATAGGAATTGCCACTGAATTGTCTATTTAAACTCTTTGATCCATGCTGCACCTTATCCACAGGTCTCACAGGTAGTGCCTCCTGGCATTTTACTTAATAACAACCCCAAAATTTTGAAATATTTGTAAATTTTATTGTAAAGTTTAGTAGTATTATAGTAATTTTTTGAAAACTAAACTTTTTAATTAATTTTATATATAAGAACAAATAGTTTAAAAATAAAAAGAATTGACTGTAATTGGAATATCAAATTATTGATAATTAATGAGAATACAACTAACTACAGTATACAAATGATTTTGGTTGCCTATCTAAGTAGTTTTATACTAGCTATCATATCTGCTTTGCTAAAAGAATATCTAATTAAACTCTCTAATTAACTATTTTTATCTATCCTTGCCAAATCAACAAACTCTTATATATCCTTAGTATACTATCTAGTCTAGATATTCTTAGAAGTATGGGCTTTACATTTTCATTTAATAATTGTAGTGGCTTATGCTAAAATTGGATTATACTGAAATCTGGGATCTCTATTTAAATTTATAATACCTACTAAAATACACATCTACTCTTTTATTAATAACCCTAACCCTAAACCTTAACCAAACTATATAAAACAATATACCTAAAAAAAAACCTCTAAAAATTTATAATTTCATAATAAAATAACTTAAATTTTTAGCATAAGCCAATTTTAGCATAAGCTGCCACAGTAATTTTTTTAGTTTTAGAATAACATATACTATGGCTTTATCTATATATAGTCAACTTTCTCTTTTCTGAACTATTTATTCTTATACACGAAATTGGCCAAAAAGTTTAGCTTTCAAAGAGTTACTATAATGCCAATTCAAACTTTATAATAAAATTTACAAATGTTATAGAGTTTTATTTTAGTTTTCATAGAGTTTATTAAGGTTCCAATTAGAAAAAGGTAACTGTACTTGCAATTTAACAAATTGTTACTATTATAGGGTCTTATCCAAAACCATACCTACTTTTTAATTTATTTTTGGAGGTTTTTTTTGATTTTTTTTTTACTTCTGAACTATTAGTCTAGAAGGGTTAGTTTATTTGGCTTTAGATGCCTAAGATCTTTTTTTAGTACATGTTTATAAAACATATGTTCTTTTTCTCTAGTACAATTTTGATAGTCAGGTTGGTAAAGGCCTTTTCTAAAACCCTTTGTTATCTAATTTCAACAGATTAGTTTTTGTTCAACTTTTATTTTATAGTACTATTGAAAGCCCCAGGTAATACTATCTAATTTAAAACTTACCAAGTAATTTTCTATTATCTTAGTTCTAGTTTTTATGTGCTATTGAACTGAATATAGGTTTGTTTTACAAAAGTTAGTAATATTTCTTTATATAATGCTATATAAACACTAAATATGATATATTAAATATATTATAACCTAGATTATAGATCTACTGATCCAACTTAGTTATTTAAATCCAGTTACTATAACACAAGTAAAGTAAGACCAGATCTTTTTACTAAATTACTACACTCTTATATAAATTTTTAAATTTTAATATTTATTTTTTTATAAAATTTTAAATATAATTTTATTTTATTTGTAGCTAAGCACCTGCTTAATTACAAACTTTAAATTTATGAATTGACAAAAATATTGATTAAATTAAATTACATTTTTTTTATATTTTTTTTACTAAAAATTAGAGTTCTGCACTTTGATTGATTTAATTTGATTTGATCAAATTCAAATACAAAATTTTTAAATTAAATCAAATTCAGATCAATAAATATTTGATCAAATACTTGAAATATTTGATTTAATTTAAAAAGTTTATAAGAAAAATTTTAAAAAATTAAATCAAATTCAAATATAAAATTTCGGTTTTACTAAATCACACCACTGGTATTCAACACCACAATGATTTTCACCAATCAAATTGTTTAAATGCAGTGTAACGTAAAGATTAGGTGTAATATAAAATTTTTGTTGTTTTGCTATTTTTTTTAAAAAATACCTTCTAACTCAAAATTTTTCCTATGAAACCACCTTTTTTTTTAAAAAAAAAACCCTCTTGTAAAATTTTACCATATACTATGCCTCACCCTAACCCTAACTATTAACTCTAACTTAACATTTATCAACTTTAACTTTTGTTTATTTTTTTTTGTTTATTTTTTTGATAGTGATCTTCACGTTACACTGCATACTGGTGTTTAACACCACTGGTTTGATTTATAATTATTGTAAAATTTTTAATTCAAATCAAATTCAATCAAAGCTAATTTGATTTGATTAAATTCAAAATACTAATATCTGATTTGATTTGAGTTTGAAAAATTTTATAAAAAATTGGCTCTCGTCTATTTTGGTATAAAAGAATTATAAAATAATAACATTTATAAAAAAAAAATTAAATTATAATTAATTAATTTATAAATAATATATATATATATTAAAAACTTTTACTAATAGCTACTTTTTAGCTATATTTTTGAAGTATCTATCTTTTTGTACTGGACATATTTTAATATTAAAAATTTATATAAAATAATTTTCTGTTAAATATAAATATTGATCATTTATATAATATATAATATATATATATATATTTAAAAGCCAATTTTACAGTACGTCTAACAATAAAAACAAATTAAGCATTTTGATTTAATAAGTGAACCTCCTATATATTATGAACAAATACAAAATTAAAAGTTTTAATCTTTATGATTACAATAATACTTATTACAAAAGCTATACTATGTTAATAGACTATCATAATTTCAAAACAATGGTAACAAATATCAAAATTCTGATAAACTAATGCTGCAAAATATTCCATAATGTTCTGGAGCAGATAATCCAAAAGTTGTATTATTATTCTTTGTATTATACTTACTGCTATTCTTTATATTACTCTTTTCGCTATTTTCAAATTACTTTTACATTATTTTTTGTCATCTTACCATCCTTATCCTTATTTTTATAAGATTCAACATCATTTATTAAACATTCTGCAACAATTTCTAATGTGTATCTCTTTTTTTCGAATGCCTCAACAATCTCTGGCACAATATCAACACTATATTTATAAAAATCATGTAACAAAATAAAGCTATCAATTTTTGGATTTGAGGGTGATAAATAACCAAGAACATTATTTAAGTTTTAGTTCTTCCTTCTTGGTAAGATGCTGCTTGGTAATGCCAATCATAAGAATTGATAATCCAAAGACTTCATATATTTACCACACTCATCATCACATTCCCCAAATGGTGGTCAATTTAAAAAAAATAGATTTGTATATATTTATTTTTATAAATTTTTAATTATTTAAACTTGTGACAATGAGATTTGAAAAAAAAACCTCATGTAATTCAGAATTACTCCAACTATTTTATAAATTGCATCATTAGCTTTAACAATTTCTTCTTTATGTTTTTCATATATTAAATCATTCAAATGTGAATGTGCATATGTACTCCGATTTGATGTTCTTCATTAAAAGTTTTCCGGATATTGTTCTACAGAAATTCCTAATACAAAAAATGTTACTTTAATTTTTTTAGTTGATAAATAATCAAGTAAACTATTAGTATATAGTCCTGGTCATTAAATAATGAACAAACTCTTCCCGACGATCACTTGCGCCAAAATTTCTGTGCCAAAATAAAACAAAAAATTTCTTTTAGTGACAGACGAAGCAACTTCATACATCGGTTCATATAAAGGTTAACACTGTTAAGTGGGACTCCTTTGTATATTCGGCAAGCAAGCCAGAAGCGTCGGTTGTACAAGATAACTGGCAGTGGGCGCCCTTGGTACAAGAAATTCTGGTAGAAGCAACTCCCTTCTGTCGACGAAGATACCTTGGTTGGCTAGGCGGTGAACTAAAAGGCAATGAGTTTTTTAATACTATCTTTAAAGGTTTTTTGTCGCAAGTCCAAGAGGAAATTTACGAACCCCCGCTACCATATTCTCGCTGAGCTTTTTTTACTAGAATTTTTGGCAAAAAGTGGGAAAGTCAGCGTACCCCCTCCAAAAGATCGGCACTGTTGTTCCTATCCTAATCGGGAAGAAGGTATGCAAGGTGGTAAACAGGAATGTCGCGTGATTAGATGGTGATGCAAAGTTGTTGGCCTTTCGGGTTTTAATTAAATTCTAGAATTTTCTTTTCTTTTCTCATCTTGTACGTATAACACATTCATAAGTAGATGCTTATGTAGTGTTATACAATTTTTATCGTTTAGTGTTTAGACGTATTAGCACCTTCGTTTTCTATTTCTTTCATAA